TCCGACGCGGGGCTTGAACCCACAGACTGCAAGATCATGACCTGAGCTGAAGTCGGACACTCAACCTACTGAGCCACCCAGGCGCCCCTTAGATACAGTGTTTTTTATTCACAAGTTATAGCACTTCATTCACTAACCTCTGTTTCTCTGAAGAAATAATGATAGGTTTCCTGGATGACCATTCTCCACTTCTTCTCCAAAACGTAGATATCACATGGACACACACACACACACACACACACACACACACACACATCCACACACATCCCTTTTTAAATTCTCTCTCTCTCAGGGCACCTGGGTGGCTCAATAGATAAAGCGTCTGACTTTGGTTCAGGTCATTATCTTGTGGTTTGTGAGTTCAAGCCCCGCATCAGGCTCTGTACTGACAGCTCAAAGCCTAAGCCTGTTTCGGATTCCGTGTCTCCCTCTTTCTCTGCTCCTTCCCTGCTCACATCTCTCTCTCTCTCTCTCTCTCTCTCTCTCTCTCTCTCAATCTCTCTCTCAAGAATAAACATTAAAAACATTTTTTTAATTCTCTTTCTCTCTCACACACACACAAAGCCTAAAATTGCAAGCATAAGGCAATTTAATTTACTCATCTGATTAGAAGTGAAATCATAAATGCCAGGCAACCATTTTGTTCCACACTATTGCTTTGTCACTTGGGACTTTTAAGGGTACATACCTGAAAGCAAATAAAAAATAGGATTTCCTAGGATTTAGCAGAGTGGATTGGAGCCAAATTATGGAGTCAATGTTTGTCTAGACCCCTGTATCTTGAGGGGTTCATGGGTACTGAAATTTAACCAGTATGCAACTACATTGCCCTTAACCACCCCAGTGAGCTGACATATCTTTCCTACTTCCATGTTAAAAACATAAAGACCCGCTTACAGGATAACAGATTATAACATTAACTATGTGTAGTACAATAAAGAATGTTTTCCACCTTTCCTTATCACCTCATATTTTACCATCTCAGGAAGAAAGGTAGCCATTGATGATATTATATCAGGCAGGCCCTGGAGCATCAAAAAAGCAAATACAGTTACCTTATCTTCCATTATTTTTCCCTGATTATTTCACTAATTTGATACTAGCTCTGGCTACACATAGAAAGAAAGAAGGAAAGGAAAGGAAAGGAAAGGAAAGGAAAGGAAAGGAAAGGAAAGGAAGAAAGAAGAAAAAGAAAGAAAAGAAAGAAAGAAAGAAAAAGAAAGAAAGAAAGAAAGAAAGAAAGAAAGAGAAAAGAAATACAGGGAAAGAAAGAGAAAGAAAGAGAAGGAAATACAGGGAAAGAAAGAAAGAAAGAAAGAAAGAAAGAAAGAAAGAAAGAAAGAAAGAAAGAAAGAAAGAAAAGAAAGAGTGAAGGAAGTACAGGGAAAGAAAGAGAAAGAAAGAAAGAAAGAAAGAAAGAAAGAAAGAAGGAAATACAGGGAAAGAAAGAAAAGAAAGAAAGAGAAGGAAGGAAAGAAGGAAGGAAGGAAGGGGCAGGCATAATGTTCACTCAATACTATAAGTTTTAGGAGAAATTTTCAATAGTAACTAAAAGCATATGAGTGAACTAATGTTAGTGCATTTTATTTCTGTTCTTCCTGGAAAACGAATGCAGCTTTCAAATGTCCAACTTTACTGGTTAAGAAGTAGATCTAAACTTGTACATTTGTCTGTGGAGCTTGCTACAATTCCCATCTTATGCTCAGTTCTTGAGTTTCACCTCTGTGGGACAGTATTTGAACTTTAAAACTACCTTCACTCCAACACAGCAGAATCCAATATAATTTGAAAAAAATAAATAGTCCAATGAAAACATTTAATATTTGGCCAGAGGAAAGTTAAAGTAATGCTTAAAGGAAAGTCATAAGTACTTATTATTAATTATGGGTGACTAATTATTACCCACTGAACAGAAAATTGTCTAAGTTGAATATAGGTCAACAAGATAGCACTCTTATCTTAAAAAGCATGTCTCTTTTTTCAATAACTATTATTTTAGTGCGTCATAACATCATACTTTATAGATAGGAAGGCAAATATGCCAAGAATACTGCTCTCAGTGCTCTTACAGTCAAAGAAAGGAAATGAGGTAAACACCAGTAATATCCAGCCCATCCAAAACCATACAGCTCTGTGCCCTTTCCTTATTAAATGGTTGTCAGGAACATTAAGCAACTCCATATTTATACAGTGTTTGAAACTATCTGGCACACAGCAGTAAACACTGTATAAATATTTATTAAGTCAATAAGTAAATTCATACAATAGATGTGCCATAAGATAGGCACAGGCAAACATGAAATATAAAAATTGTAGATAGCTAACAAACTCATAAAGAGGGGACATATAATGGATGGAAAAATTGACAACAGAACTTATTAAAGTTACTAAAACAAAAGGAAACACCATTAGCCCAGACCTGGAGTTGAGATAAATTCGTAAAATCATAAATAGACACAGGAGACAAGAGTATAGGCTGCAAAATTTGGCTTTAAAAGTGAGTGATGGAATATAATATTTGTTAGTATTGGTGACACTTAAAGGGAGACAGATCCTTTTTGAAGTAATCAGCCCATCTTCACCAGAATCAAATGTGTAGTTATGTATTGGTCACAAAGAACTATCATACGCAAGTTTAGCAATGATTAATACTGCTGCTGTGCTGTTCTTAGAAGATAGATTCCTTGCAAATTGAGGAACACTTCACATCAGTATAGCTTTTCACATTCAAATTAGCATGTTTTGCCTTAAAGCTGTTAATTAGAGAATGGCCAGTCTGTTTAGCCAACAGTGTCTTACAGCCATCTCCTTTCTTATTCCTTTCCACATCAAGTTTATGGAGAAACACCTGGTGGAGGAGAAAGGGTCAAGTCTAATTTCTTCTCTTAAGAGATAATTTCTCTTTGTAAATCCTTATGAACTGTGGTATAAGTCAGCTTGATTAGATTGGATTGAGTTGGGTTGGAGTGGATATAAGTGACTAAGAAATCAAACATTTCCCCTTTTATAATTTTTAAAGCAATTTCTTATTGAGTATTGAGTGGAAAACAATATATATATATATATATATATATATATATATATATAATATATATATTTTATGGTCAATATACAATATACACTTATTATGTATATCTTATATGGTCCCTCTCTATCATCAGTTACTACAACCTACCTTATCTATAGATTACTATAAACAACCTGTATCCAACCAAATAGGTTTGATTGGAAAATTCAAAATTATTTCCTCATGGTAGGCTGATAAATTATAATGAATAAATTCCATCAAGATGTATTACTTAAAATAATACTGAAAGTGAAAAGCTTTATATAAACCCTGTTTAAAAGTAGCTCATCATTTATATGTTGTTAAAAACTTTTTGTATCACAAATCTAGAGACACAGACAACTTTCTTACAAAGAAGAAATCTATGAGACTTTCAATGTAGTTAGTTCATTTTAAGAGACACAAAAAAAAAACTAACTTATCATACACCAAATTGACATAATAACTGACTACATTTATGTATTTGCATCATGGATACAGATTCTTGAATATGCCACATTGAGTTGCTAAGCAACTCTTTCTACCAGTTAGCAAAGTTTTTCCTTAAAAGGATAGTCTTATAACAAAGGAATGTGTGTAAACTCCTGGTTTTTAAACAATGCTGTTTAAATCCACACACTTTGAATGAATGAAAGTTCTAATAGTTTCTTGGAAATGAACAGCTGTCTGGATGTGTCACTGTATTCATTCACTTATCTCATATAACACAATTGAAAAGTGATTTAGAGGTAAGGTAGGAAAGGAGATGACTTTTAAATTTTGTATCTTTCCAGTTATTTATTATCTCCCACAGTGATTGGGAAAGTCTCACCAAAAATCATTATTTAGCCAAATATATCTGAAAATAAGATACCACCATATTATTTATATCTGAAGAAATTTCTTAAGAGATTCGCAGGCATACAATTCACCATAAAATGTCTAGAATCTGCATGGTTATGCTTTTAGCTCTCATTTATTGATAAAATTTGTTCTTTATGAGTTAACTGATACTCTGTCCAGATTCGTTCTCCTTTTGCTTTTTTCTTAGTGGATATAACTAAGGAGTAGTCTATTAGCCGTTGCAATTAAGTCATAAGAGAGAAACAACATCTTTTTCTTCCAGACTTTATGAGACCTTGGAGACTATGAAGATATGAGGATTAGTTTTCCAAACATAAAACCACAGAACGGGCCAGACATAAAGGGGTACATACCAAATGAGTCTATTTATGTCGCATTCAGAAACAGGCACAACTCATGTTTGGTCCTGTTAGGACAGTGGTTACTCATCTTGGGGTCAGGTCTCTGGGATGCTGGTAAATGGTATGTTTCTGGATGTGGATGCTGGTTACGTTAGTGGGTTCAGTATGTGAATATTTGTTAGCTAGTCATTTATCCTTTGGGTATATGCTATACCTCAGTAAAAAGTCCGAATTAATTTTTTTAACGTTTATTCACTTTTGAGAGACAGACAGATAGAGCATGAGTGAGGGAGGAGCAGAGAGAAAGGGAGACACAGAATCCGAAGCAGGTTCCAGACTCTGAGCTGTCAGCACAAAGCCCGACGCGGGGCTGGAACTCAGGAACCCTGAGATCATGACCTGAGCCGAAGTTGGATGCTTAACCGACTGAGCCACCCAGGCGCCCCTAAAAAGTCCAAATTAAAACAAATGAAACAACAGAAAATGAAAAGCATTCAGATTTCCTTTTTCTCATTCCAACAGTGTGTTCTAAAGGGGCTCATATTAGTTACAAATCACAATAGTTGTGTTATCCCAAATCCTGACTGTGTAGCAGCATAACCAGCCCTTTGGATCTTCTGCTTCCGTATCTTGTGATTTATTTTTTCCCCAGTCACAAGCTGTGCTAACCTCTGAGGCCCCTGACAGCCTGCTGGCGGGAAGCCTGTTAACCTTTGTCTGTGAACTAACACCGTTTGCCATGTTAACAGGCGAGTTGTGTGAGGAGAAGCTGGACTTCTGTGCCCAGGACCTGAACCCCTGCCAGCATGACTCCAAGTGCATCCTGATGCCAAAGGGATTCAAGTAAGTCAGAGGCTGCCTCGGGGCTCCCAGTGGGGTGGGGGTGGGGGGTTCTTCAGGAACCTGTTTCTTCACCTTCTTTTCAGGACCTTGCTTCACACCTTTGCTGGGGATGAAAGGGACATACTCTCCAGTGTCAGTGGGATTTTTATAAATGCTGATATACAATATGGACTTTTTTTTTTTTTTTTTTTTTTTTTTTTAGTACGCTAAAGAAAATGAAAGAGAGCATTTCCTTTCATTCCATGGCTCTTCCTGGGAAGTCACGTATGAAATAAATTAGCCTTTGACTGTGTTTACGTAAATGTATTTGAAGGCCACGTAAGGGGCACCTGGGTGACTCAGTCGGTTAAGTGTCTTGAGTCTTGATTTCAGCTCAGGTCATGGTCTCACAGTTCCCGAGTTCAAGCCCTACATTGGGCTGCACACTGATGGCACAGAGCTTGCTTCGGATTTTCTCTCTGTCCCTCCTCCACTTGTGCGCACACGCTCTCTCTCTCTCTCTCTGTCTCTCAAAATAAACGAAACTTAAAACTATTGAAGGACAAATAAATTTGTAGTATCTACTAGGCACTTTATTATCTGAATGTAAGTTGGTGGTAAATAGGGACTTTAATGTAACTGAAGTTTCTTTGGTCTGTTACAATTCTTAACTCTCCAAGGTGAGGAAGATGGAGGGAACCTTATGTCCCAGGTTGCCCTGGGACAGTTCCAGTTTATGCCTGTTGTCTTAGCATAATTATTAATAGCCCCTCTTTCACCTTACATTTGCCTTCTGTGGGATGATAAAGCATACAGTCACTGTAGATAGAGGGCTCCCTCAAGTGAACTCAGAACTTCAAAATTGCTTCTTTTTCCTCCTCAGTAATCTTCCTGAAATATGTTCGGTATCAGATTAAATTATTTCTTTGCTACAATCCTGAAATAGTTTAAGGGCCTATCAATAGTAAGGTTCTCTTCTTAGAGCTGACAGTGGTTTAGAGATCATCTGGTCCGAATTCATTTTAAACATGAGGAAACCATGGCCCAGACAGGTTGGTGGCTGTCCAAAGATCTCAAGGTTATTCATTGGCAGAGGTGGGAGCTAGGTCTTATATTTCCCAGTTGGATGATTTTTCTAATATAGGTTACCTCTAAGAAGTTTTGTAGTTGATTAACATTACAGATGGTTTGTTATAGAAGATATGCTGGATTCTCAGGAATGAGACAGCTGGGTTCAAGAGTTGAGCTGTGCTTACATCAGACAATCAACAAATAGAATTATTTGTTCTTTTGCCCACTATGTATTGGGTACCTGCCATGGGACAGGGTGCCCATGTTATGTTATATAGTGTTTTTTTTTTAAGTTTATTTATTTTGAGAGAGAGGGAGAGAGTGAGGCAGGGGAGAGAGGCAGGGAGAGGGGGAGAGAGAGAATCCCAAGCAGGCTCCGCACTGTGAGCACAGAGCCCAATGCGGGACTCAAACTCATGAACCATGAGATCATGATCTGAGCCAAAGTCAAGAGCCAGACACTTAGCTGACTGAGCCATACAGACACCCCCGTTATATAGTGTTTTATAGCTACTCACATTCACATACTTTCTCTTCTCAGTGAAATGACTCAAGCTTAATTGCCATAGGATTCAAAGAATTAAAAATTACTCAGGTCGGGGACAATTTTGTAGGAGAAGATGGGAGGTGAGCTGGATTTCTAACAGTTTGATACTTGTCCACAGATTATCAGACATTCCGAGTTGAATGGGAGATAGGGTCAGTATCTCCAGAACCCCTGCCTTTCAAAAATCAATCTGAATTAAATGTTTATGCTCGTTTTAGTTACAGAATATTTTTTACTCAATTTGTTCAAAATTTTATTATTATTATTATTTATTTTAGAGAGAGAGAGTAAGCAGGGGAGGGGGCAGAGGGAGAGAAAGAGGGAATCTTAAGCAGGCTCCACACTCAATGCAAAGCCCAACATGGGACTCAGTCCCACAACCCTGGGATCCATGACCTGAGCCAAAATCAAGAGTTGGACTCTCAGGGTGCCTGGGTGGCTCAGTTGGTTGAGCATCTGACTTCAGTTCAGGTCACGATCTCATGGTTCGTGGGTTCAAGCCCCATGTCTGGCCCTGTGCTGACAGCTCAGAGCCTGGAGCCTGCTTTGGAATCTGTGTCTCCCTCTCTTTCTGCCCCTGCCCTGTTCATGCTGCCTTTCTATGTCAAAAATAAATAAACATTAAAAAAAATTTTTTTAAAGAGTCAGATGCTCAACCAACTGAGACGCCAGTTTCCTTGAATATTTTTTTTTTTTTTAATTTTTTTAAGTAAGCTTCATGCCCGACTTGGGGCTTGAACTCACAACCCTGAGATCAGGAGTCACATGCTCTACCCAACTGAGCCAGCCAGGTACCCCTAAAATTTTAGAATATACAAACACAGTTTTAGTTATAGCACCTGCTGATTCCATTTGACACCTTGTTGAAAAAGAAAATAGTATCTTTGAATTCTACTTTTCATTATATTTTAGTTTACAATCCCATGCAAAAAAACGGACGTCTTCTTGAAATCTTTACTGATACAAAATGCTTCATTGCATTTTGTTCACCCAAGTACTGTATGTCAATTACTTTAACTCCTAATGCCTTTGATCTGCCTGCAGTTAAATTTGGCAAATTGAAAATCCACCACTTACATAACAAATATCCTTTCTCAGAGAAATTCACCAGTCAGGGAAGTGGTTTTCTAGAACTGTTTATCTGCCACACAGGTTTCACAGGGCTTTGTGCATTGTGATTGTAAGATAAAGTGTTAGTGAGACTTAATGGAAACCACTAAAAAATGAGGGAGTTTGTCTTTAAAAGACTACTCCTTAATTCAGTATCTTCTATTACTATCCATTAAATTACACGCTCGGAAGTGCATCCTCCTGCATCATGGGTTAGCTGATTTGGGAACCTATTGTTTTCAGCAGTAATTTGTGAGCTTGTTTTATGGCTGTATGTAGTTTAGCAGAAAGCAGGTGACGTCACAGTGTGTGCGATCACTCCCATATTATAAATAATGGCAGGGGGGTGGGAGGGAGGGGCGGGTGGGTGATGGGTATTGAGGAAGGCACCTTTTCGGATGAGCACTGGGTGTTGTATGGAAACCAATTTGACAATAAACTTCATATATTGGAAAAAAAATAATTGCACATTGTCACGAAGGGAGTTGCAAAAAGAAAATGGGCTTAGAAACCAAAAGGACACGAAGTGCTAAAGAAAATCTCTATTGACAAATGTTTGGACAAACTGTACTGTTAACTTCAAATTCATTTTCTTACTACTAAGCTAACAGCTGGTTTTACTTTTCTTGCTTTATTATATACCTCATAAATCTACTAAATTGCTTTGAGATATTTTTAGACCATCATATGCCATAAGCAGTATTTTCAAGCATGCATCTTCCTTAGTCAGCTTTTGGGCTTCTAAACAGTATATTTTAGGGCGCCCGGCTAGCTCAGTCGGTAGAGCATGAGACTCTTAAACAGTATATTTTATAGTCTTTGCTTTCTTCCTCACTCCTTGGCAGATAATAGAGTTGAGGGAATGTGATAGGTTTTATTGATAATACAAACCTTAAGGAATTCTTAATTAAATATTTTCTTTTGTTTTGAAATTTGATCTGAGGAGCAAAAGAAAGACAAAAAAAATGTTGGTCATAACGTGACTCCAAGTTCTAATGGGCTTGAAAAATAGTATTTGTAGAGAAGAGAATATGAAACAGCTCTTAGCCACTGGTGGTGAATGTGTGGTTCTCTTATCTTTTACTTTGATTTCTTTTCTCAGATAAATAATTCAGAGTGTTTCAAAGCATTTCTTCTTTCTTTTAATGCCTGCCATTTCAGCAGCTCTGCTCACATTAACATTGATGGAAGCTCTCTTCTCAGACTTTGTCCATCTCTTTGAGAATGTATATGGCCACTTAGGATCCATTTAACTTCAGACTTGTTGTTTACTTTGCTTTGTTAGGATTTAGCATTAAAACCACTGGCTCTAGAGCAAGCATGCTTCCTCAGTGAGCTCATTTTATTTTCCTAATTTATACATGCGGAGCTGAAAGTCTGTTCTCCTTAGAGGGTATATACCCCCATTTATTTTAATTCATCAGCCCTCCAGTAACTCTTAAATCCTGATTTTGCATTTTCAGAGAAAACCCTCAGTGTTCAGTAATGTCCACATTCACTTGGGCATTTTTAATTATCCTCATTCATTTAAATCCTAATGGCTTTAAAATCAAAAACTGGAACATTAGTAAAGAGTAAACCACAAAGACTTTTATAGAATTATTAAGACTTAATAGAATTATTTTTTAAATACTTGCCATTTATTGATCATGCATTATATATTAAACACCATAGTGATTCTTTTATAGTGTTTTTATTTAAGCATAATGTTTTTATTTAAGCTTTTAACAAACCTGTGAGGTGGAAATTATTTTGTACTGTGTATGTTACAGGTGAAGACATGAACACTTAGGAAGCTTAAGTAAGTTAGTCAACATTGTGTACATGTAAGGATGATGCCAGACTACAAACTCAGTTCTAACTGCAACATCGGAATTCTACAAAGCTAAATAAGCCATAGTTTCCTGGTTTATTTGTTTTTTAAAGTCAGTGAGCCCTCTCTTAAACCCAAAACAGAAATACTCATGGAAGCCCAACGTGTGAAACTAATGAATCACAACAAGAGAGTGTTGGGGGAGAGGGGAGAGGGGAGGGAAACAGGAAACTGCCAATAGCCTCCTTCCCTTCAGGGGTCCCTTTTCGCCCCTCAAAGCACAGATTGAAAAGCACTGCACACGCCATGCTACTTTCTCCACAGGCAACGATAAAGTATTTCATCCTTCAGTGGTGAGAAATCCAGGCTCTCTTGTCAGATTGCTTGGGTTTAGTACCTTGGCTGTGGCAGTTACAAGTCGAGTGCCCTTGGGTAAATCCCTTAACCAGTTTGTTAGTTTTCTCACCTGTCATGTGAGGTAGTGGTGATACTGCTGTCACAGGATCCTGGAGAAGGATTCCGTGAATCCACATATGCAAAGTGGTTAGAACAGGGCATAGCACCTAGGAAGTGCTCAGAGAACACCACGTGTATGCATGATGGTTCTTCATCAATGCAGCTGAGACCCATCCTTCCCCGGGGCCACCAGAGTGAACAAACAAGCTGAAAGCTATCCATGGAATTGCCCCTGGATTTTTTTTTTTTTTTTATCAGTTTCCCTGTCCTGCTCCACTAGGTCAGCCAACCTCTGCCATAATGATTGTCAATGCTGACTTTTTTTTTTTTCATAAAATACTATTTGATTCCAATACATCCATTCTCTTTTTTTTCTTTTATTTAAATTATATCTATATCTATATCTATTTGTAGATATAGATAGATATAGAGATATAGAGATATAAATATAGATATAGATATAGATTTAGAGAGAGAGAATGAGAGCACGAGCAGGGTAGTGGCAGAGAGAGAGACAGAGACAGAGAGAATCCCAAGCAGGCTCTGTACCATCAGCACAGAGCCCGACATGGGGCTCGATCTCAAGGAGCTGTGAGATCATGACCAGAGCTGAAACCAAGAGTTAGACCCTTAACCGACTAAGCCACCCAGCCTCCCCAATACATCCATTCTCTATTAGGAAACAAAAATGTTAATTATTTTAAAATGTGTTTAATATTTTTGGTAAATTTTATAACATAGCACTTCCATTGTCTCAACTGTTCAAAGGAGTTAGAGCAAATGAAAATAGAGGACACTCTAAGCAAAAATAGTCAGGGTGGAGGGAGGGAGGGGAGAGGGGATGGAGGGGAGAAGGAGGGAGAATATGGGAAGATGGTGGAGAGGGGAGGGACAGAAGAAAGCAAACAAGATGGGGGGAGGAGAGAAGGAAGGAGGGACACCTGCACATTTGCATCCTCATTTGGTTCATGGATGCTTACTAATTATCACCATTCTGACAGATTCCAGGGAGAAAACGTGGAATAACTGTTTTCTAGGGATCTGTTAATTTGGGGGCTCGATGAGCCTGTTCTATATAAGTTTTGAGTGTTTTGTTTTAGTTTTAATGTACTTTCATTGCAGTTTAGTTGACAAACACTGCTACCTTAGTTCTAGGTGTACTAAGTTTTCTAAAGATAGAGCCCTTTTTTCCTAGATGAAATGCAACTGTTTTGCTTACCTTGGCTCAGTTCAGTTTGAAACTGTTTACCTACTTGTTCAAACAGATGTGACTGCACACCAGGATACATAGGCGAGCACTGCGACATTGACTTTGATGACTGCCAAGATAACAAATGCAAAAACGGAGCCCACTGCACAGATGCCGTGAATGGCTATACGTGCATCTGCCCCGAAGGCTACAGGTAAAAGTAGAAATAGAGATTTGTGGTAGAGTTAAGTCTTACAGAAAGACCGCAATTGTCATGCAATTCACACGCAACTAAGAGCAATGTATTCTTTCTGTTTCCTTTAGTGGCTTGTTCTGCGAATTTTCTCCACCCATGGTCCTCCCTCGTACCAGCCCCTGTGATAATTTTGATTGCCAGAATGGTGCCCAGTGCATCATCAGGATAAATGAGCCAATATGCCAGTGTTTGCCAGGCTACCAGGGAGAGAAGTGTGAAAAGTTGGTTAGTGTGAATTTTGTAAACAAAGAGTCTTATCTTCAAATTCCTTCAGCCAAGGTCCGTCCACAAACGAACATCACTCTGCAGGTAAGACATCCCCCACCAGCAAGGGCTGATTTCATCCTAAACCACATTTAACTAAATCATAAACCTCTGGTAGTTTGTGAGTGATACTATTTCCTAAAGAGACAGTTATCTGTCTTTCTCTGTATGGCTTATTTCACTTAGCATCACACTCTGAGAAACTTAACAGGAACCCATGGGGGAGGGGAAGGAAAAAAAAAAAAAAAGAGGTTAGAATGGGAGAGAGCCAAAGCATAAGAGACTGTTGAGAACTGAGAACAAACTAAGGGTTGATGGAGGGTGGGAGGGAGGAGAGGGTGGGTGATGGGTATTGAGGAGGGCACCTTTTGGGATGAGCACTGGGTGTTGTATGGAAACCAATTTGACAATAAATTTCATATATAATTAAAAAAAAAAGAGACAGTTATCGACTGCACAACGCAGTGACAGAAAATGTTCTCTGTATGAAAATCTTCAGTTATTCTTCTCTAAAACATTTGTGTTTTTCAAAACTAAATGGGAACCAGGTATTTTTATTCACTACTTGATTGTGAAACACATAGGGTGCAACAAAATATATGGTTTGTGCTCTGGTAAAGGTATTTTTATTCCCTTTTTTTTTTATGACTCAGAGTTCAGGCTCTGTGCCCTGTGAGATGGGGCCAGGGGGGTGGGGAGGGTGCTGTTAGGAATTCTGCAGATGAGGAGGACACCGGTGAGACAAGACATCTTGACAAAATATTCAGCCATCGTCTTTTAACTCTTCCCCCGGAAACTTTAAGAAGCGACATGAAATTAACAAACTGATCTTATTTTAAGACTTTTCACCAAGTCACTGTGTCCCCTTAAGAAGTCATTCGGACCTGCACGAAGGAGGTGAGACTAGATTAGGAGTTATGAATTCAGGACACGCAGGGGCAAGCTGGGACTGCATGTTTATTTTATCTGGTAGGAAAAATATTTTAATATATTTTTAATTCAGATGACCTTAGCCGATTAACATAGGCGTCACTCCTTATTCAGGTTACCTTGACACTCCAAATGAGTGTCATGAGTGTCATGAGTGAGTGTCCTTAACCGTCATGAGGAATGGGACTCAGGAAGGCAGACGGGCCTTCCGTAGAAAGCCTGTCTCCCTGTCTTCCAGCATTTGCCATACCAGATTGTTACAAGAAGAACCTAGTGGGTTTCAGGTAGAAATCCTAATTTTTACTGACTTGGTCCTCAAAAGCCCACAAAGGCTAGAAAGCGGATAAAAACAGATCTCCCACTGTTCATGCCATAACTGTGAAGAATGTTTTTTTATGTGGAATATAAAAATCAGTCTCACTCAGTGCAGTTACATTTCATATATGCCATACAGACAACCTGGAACAGGAGTGAAAAGAACAGGTAAGTGAAGATCTCCAGCAGAGAATGTTTTAGGCACACCCAGTGGTGTTTACTGAAGTGTCTGTTACTGTGTTGTTGGTTTTTTTAATTCTTTATGAATCTATTTGCATCAAAGTAATTTAGGAACGGGTCACCTTTCAAGTCGTCCTGTCAGCGTGCGCTACTGTTTTCTCATAGCTATAAGGAAAAAATAAGCTGTAGGAAAAGCTCTTCACTAAGCAGTCTTCTTTTTGATGAAGTACGTGTGGATGACGGTGCGTCCTAATGTCAGGGTTACTTCCTACTAGATTGCCACAGACGAAGACAGTGGAATCCTCCTGTATAAAGGCGACAAGGACCATATTGCCGTCGAACTGTATCGGGGACGGGTTCGTGCCAGCTACGACACCGGCTCCCACCCGGCTTCTGCCATTTACAGGTGAACATTTCTTGGTTACTGAGAGAAGAGCCGTTTCTCCTCTATTTTTCTGTAATGGTGAGGGGAGGGAGTAATTTGGCCACAGCAGGCTTATGATCGGTGTCTTATTTAGGGGCCCGGCAGGAACAGGTGCCATACTCAAGTTGGATAATGGAGGACAGATTCTTAAGGGGACTTTTTACAAAGATTGGTAGGGATAATACAGTAACCTGGGACCAGTAACGAGGGATACAGCTACTGCCTATATGCTTGAAGGGGTAAGTGGAGGCAGCACTCTTGGAAATCCATGCTCAGAAAGGGACTCATGGCAAGGACTGCCTTGGCAGGAGATGCAACCTTCAACAAAGGGATGCAGTCAGTCCTTGGAGGAGGAACCAGGACTTTTAAATACCCAGCCATCCTTCTCCTCCCCAACAGCCCCCTGCCTGTGCTCCCCTTTGGCCAAATCAAATTCCAGACAAAAAGGAACCCACTGATCACAGTAATGTAGTTTGCACGTGAGTCTCCCAGACCCCAGAGCAGAGTGAATACAGGTGGAGAGTAGCTCTAGAAAAGAAACTGCAAGATACCCAGCACAGTGAGGAATTTAACATTACCTTTCATTCAGCAGTACTTATTGAGCACCTACTGTGTGCCAGGCCGTGATCCAAGCTTTAAGGAACACCCTTGCTCTTAGGGAGATTACACATAATAAGCCAAGGGACACATATAATATGTGACCGGTAATGTGATTTATTTTGGAAGTTCCCTAATAACACCATGATAATGATGATATTTTGAAGATACAAAAGGAGTCGTATTCATGGGGCAAAAATTTCGCTGGAAATGTGCTTTTTGCATAAGATTAACCTCTGTTGGATCTCAACACTAATTCACTATCATAGAAATAACTGCCACCAATTAGAGCGAGGTCACAAAGTCATATGCAGTCAGGGTTTTTCAGGCAGGTAACTCAAATGAACTAATCAGGCCGGCTGCAAGAGAAAACTGTGTTCTCATCATTTTACTCTTGAAAAAATCAAACTTTTTAAAATTACCTTAGTACTTCCATGATAAATAGCCTTGATGTTGGCAGTGTGATAGAAGTGTCTGTGACAGGAGTGAGCTAGAAGCAAACCTTTGTCAAAACAGGGCCAGACTGCATCTACCCAACTCTCCCTAAATGCTGCCATGGGAAAATGTGGGCCCCAGTTTTACCACAACTCCTGAGTTTTCAAGGAAAGGCATAAATCTGGATGTTTCAATATAAGTATTCCATCCTTTAAGTATAGATTCATATTTTTAAAAAAATACTATATGTGGTGAACAAAAAGCATCTGTAAGCCAAATACTGATGACACACTTTGGGGGCATTGATTGGGACATAAAGCTGGAGATACTGGCCTCTATATTACCTTTTTTTATATATTTATGTGTTTATTTTAAGAGAGAGAGGGAATGCAAGCAGGGTCTGCACTGTCAGCACCCAGCCTGATGCGGGGCTTGATCTCACAAACCGTAAAATCATGACCTGAGCCAAAATCAGGAGTCAGACGCTTAACCAGCTGGCACCCCTGGCCTCTATATTATTGATGTGTGTATCGATGTGCTTCAAAACCCTTCGCGTCCTATCCCGATCCTTTGTAACAGTCCCGAGAAAGTAGGTGCCAATTGTAGGCCATGAATGGAATTCAGGAAGTCCTCTTAGTGGTGAGGTAACCTACTTGGGAATATTTAGAGCATGGAAACAAACACATCATTATTGGTTTCCAAATGGAGTATGAATTTCATGTCCAAATGGTGATGAATTAATGCCAACATTTTAGATATTGCTAGGCCTTAAATTATATAGCCTCAATTTGTTTGAGCCTGTAAAAAAGTTTCAGAATGTTGGTTTTGTGGTTCATTTTTGTTTTTTATTTTTCTCTTTTATTTTCTGCAGTGAAAGAGCACAGCACTCTCAGAAACCATAGTAAAGGTTCTTGAAGTTGGTTTATTAAAGCTAGTGTTCACATAAAATATACTTAAAATACTTCTAGATAAGTTGTAGAAACCCATGTGGTTATATCAAAATGAGAAGTTACCATAAAGAGCTTATCTTCAGTCTATGTCCTTTCCAGCGTTGCCTGACAAACAATAGAGCATACCATATGAAGTTTACAAAAAACAATAATATCACATAATATGCTTTTCTTTATGAGCGAGAAGTTCACTTCTCTGTTTGCAGATCATCTGATGGGGGCATCTGTTGTAAGGTCCAGGGAAAACAGTTTCATTTAACTCTTGGTTTCTGATTTATGGCACAAAAATTAAGAAAATCATCACATTATTTTTAAGTATAAGAAAAGTCATCACATTATTTTTAGGTAAAAGAAAAGCAACAATAACCTAGAATTCAGATAGACAGATGATTGATTGGTTGATTGGTTGATGATTGATATTGATATGTGTATATTATATGTGTATGAATATATTAATACTTCAGTATGGAATAGAAAACAAATGCTTCTGTGAAATAGAAACTATAGAGAACAGTTGAATTATTTCAGCACGCTAGGAGATTTTAGTTTTGACAAGTAAAAATCCTGGTGCTAAGATGTGTGTTCAGATCTAGGCTTGACCAATTACTGGGGGAGAAACTTGGAGCAGATACTTAATGTTTCTGTGTCTCATAAATCATAGCTATAAATAACGATACAGTACGTACCCCATAAAGTCACTCTGAGTATTAAATCCCAAACTTAGCTCTGTCCTCACTCCTCACTCACATTGTCTTCATTCTCATCTACATGTAGCAATACAGGAACATTTTTCTGGTATCTATTTCTGGAGTATAGCAGGGGAGTTGAAAGTGTATTCTCTATCCTTATCCATTAACACTAGAAGTACAGATTGTTTACCATTTCCATAGAGGGCAATTGAAAATATGTATCCAGGTTACAAATACATTTACTCTCTAACCTATGAAATCCCAGTTCTGGGAATTTGTGCCACAGATATACTTGAAGATACAGACATGATATGTGCACAGCTACTGCACTGCATCATTGATTATAAAAACAAAAGTTAGGAAACAGCCCTTTTCTAGTTTATACAATGGAATGTGCTGTTTAAAAGGGAGGTGGAAAGGGAAAGAGGAGGTTTTCTATGTAGGACACAGAAAGATTTTCAAGGTGCGGTGCTCTGTTCAAAAGAAAAAGAAGGCAGAAGAGTGTCAAAGGTGGGTAAATAAATACGTGTATTTTTATGTCCATGCATTTGCATAATGAAAAACAGAATGGGGCGTCTGTGTAGTTCAGTCAGTTGAACATCCAACTCTTAGTTTCAGTTCAGGCCATGATCCCAAGGTTGTGGAATAGAGCCCCACATCGGCTCTGTGCTGAGCAAGGAGCCTACTTGGGATTCCCTCTCTCTCTCTCTCTCTCTCTCTCTCTCTCTCTCTCTCTCTGCCCCTTCCCTGTGCTCACACATGTGCACTCTCTCACTCTCTCTCAAAATAAATAAGTAAATATTTTTTTGAAAGGAGAGAGAAACTAGGAATAGAGAGCAAAGAGTGGGATGGAAGCAAGAGATTTGTGTATGAACACCACTTCACATCATTTTGATTTTTGAGCCATTTGAATGCCATTACCACTCAAACTAAAATTAAATAGAAAAGGACAGGTGCTCTAAAGATAGTCTGCCTTGATTCAAGCCCCAGCACTGCCATCTAGTAACTGTGTGCCACGGGTAAATTGCATAAGCTCTCTGGGCCTCACTCACCTGGTAAATGGGTGTAGTGGATCATGGTTCCATTTTGTGGGATCGTAGTAAGAATTTTATGTTTGATACATGAAAAATATTTAGGACAACATATACCAAATAGTTCTAGCTATTGGGATCATAAATTTAGAATGTCCGAAATACAGCTTATTTTCTTTGCTTCACCCAAACCTGTGTCCCTGTCACATTCCTACTGTCATTGAGAGGTGTCGTAAGCCTGGAGTTCCTCCTCATCTTTTTCTTTCCCTCACCTTCAACTTGAAATTGGTCCCAAGTCTTCCTTCTGCCCTTACTAATTTTCTGGCATTTATCCAAATGCTTCTGACCTTGCTCAGGCCCTACTAAAATGTGACCTTTGATGAAAGGTACTCCTTCTCCATCATCATAGAGAAAGCCATCAATAACACTGTGGCCATCTGCTCTCCCATAAATTGCTTAGTAATTATTTTGTCTGGTTGAATTAAATGTTCAAATCTTGGTGTTTCTACTTTATGTAACATTATTAAAATACACTAATGTTTTATTTTTTATTTTTTTTTAATTTTTTTTTTCAACGTTTATTTATTTTTGGGACAGAGAGAGACAGAGCATGAACGGGGGAGGGGCAGAGAGAGAGGGAGACACAGAATCGGAAACAGGCTCCAGGCTCTGAGCCATAAGCCCAGAGCCTGACGCGGGGCTCGAACTCACGGACCGCGAGATGGTGACCTGGCTGAAGTCGGACGCGTAACCGACTGCACCACCCAGGCGCCCCTAAATACACTAATGTTTTAAAAGGGAGTAGTCTTACATATTGTAACACCAGAAAATATGTTCAGTTTAATTGCATGATGTTGTGTTATAAAACATTTAATGTAGTAAAAATTTATTTTCCAAATTCTGCATTATTTAATGTGCTGTTGGAACACTGTGTGTGGGAATAAGTTTGTACTTTGAGTGCCTCTTTTCAGGTGTCTGGTTAATCTTCAACATTGATGGAAATGGATTTTGTTTATTTTAGTAAATGAAATCTGATGAAATTAGGGGAAAATAATTATACATTAAATTGTTTCTCTATGTTTTTTTTTTTTTTTTTTGGTTTAAAAGGCTTCATTTTATTTTATTTTATTTTAGTGTTTATTCATTTTTGAGAGAGAGACAGAGTGCTAGCGGGGGAGGGCCAGAGAGAGAGAGGGAGACACAGAATCTGAAGCAGGCTCCAGGCTCTGGGCTGTCAGCAGAGAGCCAGATGTGGGGCTCAAACTTACAAATAGTGAGAT